ATTACAAGGATCTACATGTGACCTCCTTCCTGGGGGACAGACAACAGAAAAGTGGGTGAAGGGAGACATCAGACAGTACAAGATATGACAAAATAATAATTTATAAACTATCAAGAGGGAGTGGGGAGGGAGGGGAAAATAAGGAGCTGATGCCAGGGGCTTAGGTGGAGAGCAAATATTTTGAGAATGATGAGGGCAATGAATCTACAGATGTGCTCAACACAATTGATGTATGTATGGATTGTGATAAGAGTTGTATGAGCCCCAATAAAGTGATTTTTTTTAAAAAAGAACCACACATTCAAGTCATCCAGCTGCCAGCACATTGTGAGGATGGAATGAGAGAATGTCTGCGGATATATTTGCTGTACATCTGTGCCGATAAACACACCATGAGTCCCAGCTCCTAGCAGAAAGATTGGACGTTTGAGTCTCCCCCAGGTACCTCAGAAGAAGGGTCTGTGGTCCACCTGATTAAATCCCAGCCCCTGACAACCTCAGGGAGCCCACTTCTGCTTTGCACACAGAATCAACTCAATGGCCACTAGTTAACTGATTGTGGTAGTTATGTAATCTGGTGTCAATTTGAGACTGTTAAGAGTGAAGGGGGTGGAGTTTAGCCTGTCAATCAGGCATTACAGAGACAAAGAGCTCACTGGGGGGGCCAGATCTGCACACTCTGCAAATTCCTCAAGGCACATGGAGCTACACTGATAGAGCCAGAGCCCAGGAACTGGAGGAGCCACATGGAGACCCACGCCAGCACTGAGATGCTTCCATCGCCACTGGATCCACAAGCCTTTCCACCCACTGGCCTGAGATCTTCCTACATTCGGTGTCATTACATGTGTTGGAATTTATAGACTGGTATCAGACATATGGGGTAATATTGGACATATGGACTTGAACTGGACTGGGCTGGGATGTTTTCTTAATATATAATTTCTCTTTGACATAAAGTTCTCTCTTATATACATATGAGTGTCTCTGGATTTGTTTCTCTAGTCAACCCAGACTAACACATTGATAATAGGCACAAAGATATCAGTCATGACACAATATGCTTCATATCTGAGGACAGCCCCCACCCACCATCCCAAGTTGGTTCTTGGTCTACAGGTCTTAGCTCATCTATGCACACTGTCCCATCGACAGTTAATGGGGAAAAGGTTCTTCTCTTAGAACACCGAGTTATCGGGACTCAGACACCAGCCTAATACCTTCCCTGTCTCTGAAGGCTACCTGGATCAGTTCTTTGACAACAGGCCCAAGAAGACATACTCTTAGCCCCCCTGAAGCCCCTTTCCCTCTCAATTAAGAATCCATTGGAAAGGGGGCAGAGGGGGGGTGCCATGGTGTAACTACCAACTGAGTTTCAAGAACGAAAAGCTGTGATAAAAAAAAAAGGCATGGTCCATCCTTACGAGAACACAAGTAAAGAGCTGTCAGGAAATGACACACGCTTTTTGCCAAAACTCATCAACGGCTTCTGTTAAGTATTAGCATTAAGCTACTTGACGTTGAAACTTGGATCCTTTAGAGAAAGTGATAAAGTCTGTGCCATTTTGCTAGTTTAATCTTTTTCATGAACTGTTTTTATATTCTGCACTGTACCTAGAAGTCGATGTTTTGCATAGCATGTAGTTAATTACTTTAACCAGAAACTTTTACCCTAGAGGGATTTCTTCCTTTCAATTATTGTAAGTTCCCACGTGGACAACTGTAGCTTCTCTGGCAGTTAATTCTAGGGCTAGAGATTAGGGAGAAGCCTATTGAAACACAAAGGGTTTACAGAACTGGTGGAAGAGGGAGGACTATAATTCAAGTCTGATGAAAAAGGGCTTTGAGGAAAATCATTACTCATCAGAGGTGCTACTCTATTACTAACCAAAATCATTTGTAATGATTTTAACTTTATTCCATAACTTTAAAAACAGTGTGAGTTGAATGGTCATGGATAGAAATGATGAAGTAGAAAGCCATGTGTATCGTCTGTCTATTAATAGAGCTCATCTGCAATCTACCTAAGAGAAGTGCAGAGGGAATTGTCCATGTTGATCCTAAATTGTAGTCTGAGATACTACTTAGACTCTGTAATTATTTCCAAGACTGAGAACCATCTTTCAAGAGTCTGACAGGCTACCTGTAGAACCAGGTAGCAGAATAGGCCTTCCCTCTCTGACCGTTCACCAGGGAGTGGACCCACTCTACCTGAACCCCAGGGGGGGCTCCACTCATTTCTGCCTGTGCTTAGTGCTCCTCCTCAGCCCACCAGGCCAGACTACTCAAATCTGTCTCCCACTAATACTTAGGGAGCTGGTAGACTCCCACAGCCCACTGCGTAGGGTAGACTATTCTTCCCCCAGACTGCACAGCTCCTGGGTGCCCTGAAGTTGTGCGTTGTAACCAGCATCTTTTCTCTTCCTGCATTCTTTTTGATTCTCTAGGCCTCAAAAAGTAGGGGAGAAGAGAAAGGAAAATAACAATTAAGAGAAGCCACAAGCCTCCCTCTCACTAACTCCTTCTGAGACTGGGGTTAAGTTGTCGGTGAGGAAAAGAAGCCAAGTACACTGATTCAGACGATCTGCTCTTCCTGTAGATTCAGCATACTGACGGCACCCCCAGCACTGTTTATAGTGAACGTATGGTGGTGTACGAGATAGCCAGCAGCGAGTGAGGGCGTAGTCAGTGTTTCCCAAAACAAGTGATACCATCCCCTGGGGAATGGGGGACACTGAGTAATCTTTCCTTGAAACGTGGACCGTAGGCCAAACGCGTGTGGGAAACTGGTGTAGCTGAAAAGGGTGATCTCATCCCCCACCATTGCTTCCCTCCCCTGCAACACACATGGACTCCAGCCAGGGACACGATGTTGTTTCTGCCCATCGCTTAGCACACAACCACCTGATCCACAGTCCCCAGGTAGGCAGTGAGTGGTTTCAGGAAATCCTCAGCAATGAAAACCAACAGGGAAGACCGTTCGAAATACCAGGATGTTTTTCCTGGAACGGACACTGATTACTGTGGAATCTACAGGGCCGTTGGAATTGAATCAGAACAAGGCTACCTGACAGATTACAGAGACTTTATTGCCATAGCCAGGCGGATGCACTTGTCTATGTACTACGTCAATTAATCGGAAGGGAACGGCGACGTCTAAGGTACTTGAAATGCTTGCTCTTGTCAGAGTTCTCTGTCTTTTCTCAGGTGCCCTTCTTCACAGAGTGAAGTTCCCACCCAGGCCGACGTCCACCTCACAGCACGTTATGATCCAACGGGATCTGGAGTCGTGCAGGGAAGACACAGAGACTCCCTTGCGTTCAGTGATTGGGGAACTGACTCTCGGACATCACTCAGGAACACAGCACAGCCCTCCGGGACCTGCAGACTGTGGTCAGTGTCGTACTGTACCTCAAGGGTCTCCAGGTCTCAGACACAGAACAAGTCCCACAACAGGGGAGCCCTCGGCAATCTCCCAGTTTGCTCTTTTCAGGAGCGCCTAGAGAGGTGGCCACGTGTGGAATCCAGGAATGGGGCCAAGATGGGAGTGGAGAAAGTTGCAGGCTGACTCAGTTTGGGACGGAAGCCACAAAGGTCTCTGTGTAGGCATCCAGAAGCTGTCAGAACATCTGTCGCAGCAGCAGGACATCTTCCCACGCAGCACCAAGCTGCCATCTAGACAGGGAGGAGAAGAAACAGAGATGAGACAAACATGGGCATATGGGTTCCCCACTGTGCACCTGCTGTGTGCCGCTCATGGTGGGGGGGGGGGCAGCACGGGAGATCAGCTAGCATCCTGGGAGCCGTCAAGACGGCCATCGCCATCCCTCTCCTTACACTGAGGTGCAGCGCTGGTTATGCTGGGTTTCACCGGCTACGCGCACACTGCCGAGGCTCTGACGGACGCCCACCCACAACCCATGGGGCCCTCCTCCATCCCAGCTGCTCTTCACGACTCCACCCCACCCTGCCTTCATTCCACTGATTCCTCCCACATGACAGTGTCACATACCACGCTGCTGCGAAGGACAGGGATGCCAGAATGATCACAGCAGCCACGGAGCCCAGTCCAACACCCACCATCTGCTGCAGCGTGAGGGACGCATCTGCAGAACAAAAGCACATGCTCAGCCGAGCAGAAGCCACCAAGGCGTGGCACTCTCAGGAGACAGACAGCCAACTGTGGTTACTCCCTCGGACCCAAAGGTTCGTCCCAATTAGTCAGCAATTCCAAGAATGCCCGGCGTGCTTTTAGTCTCTGGGGTCTTGCTCTGAGCATGCAGAACCTTGGGAAATCATAGCCCCAGGGTTTGGGGGGTTTTATACTGTGGGCAGTGTAAAAGCAGCCCACGGTAAAGTGACATGGGAAGGGAAGGCTTGAGCATGCAACACCACATACCATAGCACAAATACTTCATACCGCAGCACACAGAGACCACCGACTGTGCTGCGTTTTGTAGATCCTATCTTAAGTCAGCTAGACTTTTTTTTTTTTAGGATCTTCTTTTTAGGAGCACTTGTCCTTGAGATTGAGAATGAAGCCTTTCTGCCATGATTTGAACTTCTGCTCCGAAAAATAATAGATTCCTCCGGTGGTCAAATATAGCAAACAAAGGGAACCAATTACATGGAACTATGTGTGACCTCCTCCCTGGGGGACAGACAACCGAAAAGTGGGTGAAGGGAGACGTCAGACAGGGCAAGATATGACAAAATACCCATTTATAAACTATCAAGGGCTCATGAGGGAGGGGGGAACGGGGAGGGAGGGGAAAAATGAGGACCTGATGTCGGGGGTTTGGGTGGAGAGAAAATGTTTTGAGAAACGATGTACAAATGTGCTTTACACAATTGATGTGTGTATGGATTGGAATAACAGTTGTATGAGCCCCTAATAAAATGTTAAAAAAAAAATATATATATATATATATATATATATATATATATATATATATAGCAAACAAATATTTCTGTTGCGCTAGTCCCCTGCCATTCGTCCCATACTTTAATGAGGGTGATACCAGGTGCTCTGGTGCATCACCCACCCTGGGTTACTGGCTGTAGGAGCTCTCTGAAGGCCTACGTTCTGCCAGGGGCCTCACACACCCACTCGGTCATAAAGTCCAAGACGCCCACTGAGCTGCACACGTAGACTGCGCGAGTGAGCGGGGCATGACGCTCTGGACTAGAAACAAAGATCTGGTTTGAATCTGCACACACGTATTTAGTGCTGACCGTGTCATGAGGTACTGTCAGCATCTCATCAATGTTCTCTCGTCTCCTACTCACTCCTTAGACTGGCTATCAAGAACCCCAGGCGTGGACTGGCTAAGCAATCGGCCCACAGCCACCCAGCTAGTGAACAGTGGCAGAGCCGGGATTCAAAGCCCATCTGCCTCCTGAGGCTGCGTGTAAGCACAGCACCGTGCTTTCTGAAGGGCAGTGCCACGAGGTCCACTTCAGGACAGTTCAAGCTGCTTAACTTTTTCATCCTCTCCTCTGCATGGTCCAAACGGTGGCCACTAACCAGAGACAGCTACTTAAAGATTAAATTAATTAGAAATTCAGTTCCTCGGTGTTCTGGATTGAATGGTGTTCTCTCAAAGCTTGCGCTGTAAATGTAACTGCAGGCCTGTGGCTAGGGGGCACTGGTGGCACAGTGGTAGGAGCACTTTTAGCTCACGAATCCCATCGGCCTCCTTGGCAGAGAGATGTGCCAACTTGGGTCCATGAAGCGCACAGCCTCGGACGCCCCTGGAGAGTCGTTCTCCTCCCACTTGGAATCGGGCTTTCCTTGCTGTGGGAATGAGGCTAGACTAGTGTCGGGAATGTCTTCAGCCAGGGTCTGTTGAGAAATAAAAGAGCGGATGAAGGGAGCCCAGAAGGGGAAAGATGATGGAGATGCCGTGTGAAGACCACCAGGGAGTCAAGGAACAGACACTGAACAGAGAGGAGGGCCAACTGTGAAAGAAAGCCTTCCCCTCAAGTCATGTCCTGAATTCCAACTTCTAACCTACTGAACGGCGCCTGGCGGAACAGTGCGTTAAACACTGGGCCTCAGCTGCTGCACGAGAGAAAGGGGCGGCCTTCTTCCCGCGTAAGGCTTTACAGCGGCTGAAATCCGCAGGGGCGAGTCCACTCTGACCTACTGGGCTGCGAGGCCGCAGACGGACTGGATGGCAGTGCGAACCCCCGAACTGTGGGGGTACATCTCTGCTTGGCAAAGCCACCTCGTGGTGGAACTGTTGATACAGCAGCCCGAACCAAGACAGGAAATCACATTCACTTATTTCAAGGGGCCCAGGTGGCCAGGGACGATCGTTCGCAGCGCAGGTTTTGAGCATTCGTAGCACTGCAGAGAAGTTTCCTGCCAGAGCTGCTCAGATCCCCACAACAAGCAGCTTGGTTTTACTGGAAACTGCACGGCAAGACCAGCCATGGGCGCAGCTCTCGCTAGATACGCACGATAACAGGGCCTGATGCTTTCAGAAACAAAACCAAATGCATTGCCACCAAGTCAATGACGACTCACAGCAACCGGACAGGACAGGTGTTTGCACTGCGGTTAGAAGCCCCACAAGTAACCACCAAGCCTGCCGCCAGGGCTCCCTCAATGGTCTAAGAAGCCAGAGGCAAAATGGAAAGAGACTGCACTTACATTCGAAATGAGTAAAAGAGAAAAAATTTGGAGGAGTTATTCAATTACTAGATACTAAGAGCACAAAAGTAGCATAGGGAACTATAATGGGAGTCGCGAAACCATGCAGGGAGGGGGAAGGTGCGGGAAGTAGGGGCAACCGATGGCAATGGTCGACATATAACACACACACCCCAGGGGCAAACATAGAAACATGGATGAGGGGAGAAAGCAAATGGTGTAAGATATGAAAATAATAATAATTTATAATTTATCAAGGGGTCATGAGGGTGAGAGGGTAGGGGAAGGAGGGGAAAAGAGAATGATACCAAGGACTCAAGTAGAAAGAAAATGTTTCGAAAATGATAATGGCAACCTATGTACACATGTACTTGATACAATTGATATATGGATTGTTATAAGAGCTGTAAGAGCCCCCAATAAAAATGACTTGTTTTTGAAAAAGTAGCAGAGGAATGATTGCATTCGAAGAAAATAAAAAGTCTGAAAATAGTCCCAAGTATATCAAATCATTTCAAAGGCTGAACAGTGGAGACAGATTGTCTTCATTTGCATCTTTACACCACCACTCCCAGTTTTGTGACATTCGACAAGTTATCCGTCTGTGTGTAATTTCCAAATTGAGGATTGATGACATGGTAAAAATCACAAATAAAACTCATCTAATAGAATTATTTGGGGGAAAGACAAGGCTTTCCACTCCAATCGAGAGTTAGAGTCTCAGACCCCACAGGGGCAGTTCTACCCTGTCTCTAGGGTCACTCTGAGTCAGCATTGACTCCATCAAGGGTTCATGAGAGGGGGGAGCGGGGAGGGAGGGGAAAAATGAGGAGCTGATGCCAGGGGCTTAGGTGGAGAGCAAATGTTTTGAGAATGATGAGGGCAATGAATATACAAATGTGCTTTACGCAATTGCTGTATGTATGGATTGTGATAAGAGTTGTATGAGACCCTAATAAAATGATTTTAAAAAATAAATAAACACATTGAGGGTCTGGCAGGGGAGGTCGGGAAGAAGTGGGGAGCTCATAACAATGAGTACAAGAAAGAAGAAAATGCTCTACAATGGATTGTGATGATAATTGTACATTCTTTTTAATATGACTGAATTATTGAATTGTGTGATATGTGAATTATATGCCAATGAAATTGTTTTTTTTAAAAAGGAGTAGTAAAAATTAAGAAGAAATTCAATTTTAAAATAGAAATGTGTTACTGTGTGTTAAAACAGTGCCTGGTGCAGAGTAAGCAATAAACATGTATTAGCTATTATTATTATTATTATTGTCTATTACTGCTTTAATCCTTGGACAAACAGTATATGATTCACAACTAGTGCTGAACAAATTGGAAAGCTAGAAGGAAGGAGTTGTGGTTTAGCTGTGAGGAGCCCTGGTGGCACTGCAGGATAAGCATTGCAAGTTTAGGGGTTCAAACTCACAAGCCTCTCCACAGGAGAAAGATGAGACTATAGGCTTTAGTAAAGATTTACAGCCTCCTAAGCCCTCGGGAGAAGTTCGGCCTATCCTATAAAGTCTCTACGAGTCAAGCTGACTCAATGGCAGTGGGTCTGGGCTTTTGACTTGGTGGCCAAATGAGTAAGTGCTTGGCTGCTAAGGAAACCTCATTTGTTTGAACTCACATCACAAGCCACTCCATGGGAGAAAGATGGGGCATTGTGCATCTATAAGGAGTACATAGCCTTGGAAACCCTCTGAGCAGTTCTAGCTCTGTCCTAAAGGGCTGCCTTGAGTCAGAATGGACTGCGTAGCAGTGGGTTTTTAGAACAAATGTCAGACCTAGAGCTTATACCATCTACCAAAATAAGATCCAGATGAATAAAAGACTTACAGTAAACCTTAAGAGAATTTGAAGAAAATATGGGTAGCTAATATTAAGGTGGATAAGAATTTTCTAAGCATAATTATTAAAGTAATAGATTTGACCACATTGAAAACCATAAGCTTCTGAGTACCAAACACCACTATTAATAAAAGATGGAAAGGTTAACTATTAATTGTAAAAATTAATCAGTAAGTGGTTAGCATAGAAAGAATGCTACAAATGAAGAAGGAAAGACAAAGATGTCAATAACAAAATGAGCAAATTCTACGAAAAGCTAAATTACCTATAAAGTGTGACTGCAACTGGTTGAGAAACAATAAGCAGTAAGTGGCACATTGACATGCCATTTATGCATATTAAATTAAGCAGACTTTCAACCAAAAAAAATAGAAAACATAGCACTAGAGATGGTGGGAGGAGGCTGGTCTTTCCTGCACTGCTTGTTTTTCATTCACTCTAACCAGAATTCCTCCCAGCTGTTATCATATATATACATAATATGAATATTCATTGTTTTCATCATTTGTATTTTTTACAGAGGAGCCCTGGTGGCATGGTGCTTGTGTGCTGGACTGCTATCACAAAGTCAACAGTTCAAACCCA